GTTTCACACACAGTCTGTTTCACAGTCTGTTTCTTGTCCTGCTATCTCTTTATCTTTCCTTTTCCAAGACTCAGATCTTAGAGAACAGCCACTGCCCAGACATGTTCAGTGACAGACAAAATCAGTTCAGAGCAGCTGATTGCAAATGCAAATTCTCCCTCTCATTCCACTGTTGAAAACTTGGTTCCTCCTTTATTCACACTGGCTCGGTCCTTCTGCTCAGAATTCTTGTCCTGAACGCCTTAGTCCAAAAGCCTCCAATAAAAAGTTTGTAAAAGACAAACTCCGGAGGGAACAACTGTGTTTTCTGGTTTGTGAGACTCAGGCCATCCCCTCTCCATCATTATCATATTATCTACACTCGCAGAAGCCGCCCACACACAAGGACTGGATAGGAAGGAACATTTTGAAGGTTTCCGAGAGCAAAATGAAACAGATATGATTTTAACACTGTAACTTAAAACCTTGTAAGTATAAGACATTTCTCTTTCAGGGAGCATTTGTTGGTAACTGTGAGAAATAATATATTCTGTCTATGATATAATATAGACAGAACTGGAAGGGTAGTCAAACAATCTAATGGTTCATGCAATCAGTCTCATAGTTATTTCATCTCAGCATATGTGCATTTCAAGTTTCTATGTTCACGTGTGATATAATTTAACTCTCAGCTCTGATTATTATCGTTCTTTAAAATAACAAGATGAGTAAAAAACATTATCTTAGAAGTTCTAATCACTTAAGAGTATTCTTTTGCCAGTTCTAGGTTTGCAACTTTGAAACACGAGATAAACATTTTTAAAAAGCTGGGGGGTAGAAATATTCATTGAAAAGCAGGATTATTAGTGTCACCCAATTAAATGTATTAATGGTGACTGTGAAGGTAGACTCAGTCTGTCTTTTATTCTGCCAAGACACATGATACTACTGAGGGTTTATTATTCTCTAAGGAGAAAAATATTCATTAAAATGACTTGTCAAGTAAAAAGTAATAATCCTATATAACAAACCCTATCATCAGTCTTTCTGGCCAGCTAGCTAAATATATACAATATAAATAACCCTCTAATGCACTCCCAACAACTGAAAGTGAGGTAACTTAAAAAAGAAAAACACTTAAAACATGTCACTGTAGAAGATGATGTGTTCACATGGTACCCTCTGTGCTTAAAATTCATGGCTTCCTATTGCTTTCAGGATTAAGACCAATATTCTTAATGTGATCTTCAAGTTTCTACAACCTCATCTCTTACTACACTCTCCCTACATCTTCATGCTCAGCCACACTGGTCTTCCTTCAAGGCTTTGAACATGCCACAGGGCCTTTGCACATGTTTTCACTCTGTATAGATGCCTTCCTCCACCCCTTCTTTGCCTCTTTAGCTCTTACTCATCCATCAGATCTTAGCTCAGTACTCACCACCTTAAGGAAACCATCCCAGACTCCTTATCTCAGTTAGATTCTCTTTTGTATGTTCAGTCATAAAGTATGTTTCTTTTCTGCTTGGCATTTACTTACCTCATGATTATGGTATATCTGTTATCTATTGCTGCATAACAAATAACCTTGAAATTTAGTGGCTTAAAACAACAAACATTTATTATCTCTTGGTTCCTGCTAATCAGGAACCAGGAGCAGCCTGGTTGGGTGGTTCTGGCTCAGAGTCTCATCACGTTGCATCAAGATGTCAGCCAGGGTGCACCTGGGTGGCTCACTCAGTTAAGCATCTAACTCTTGATTTCGACTCAGATCATGATCTCAGTGTTGTGAGATCGAGACCCTCATTGGGCTCCACACTGGGTAGGAGACTGCTTAAGATTCTCTCTCTCCCTCTCCCTCTGCCCCTCCCTACTTTCCTCTCTTAAAAAAAGAGAGAGAGAGAGAGAAGAAAGAAGAAAGAAAGAAAGAAAGAAAGAAAGAAAGAAAGAAAGAAAGAAAGAGAAAAAGAAAGGAAAGAAAGAAAGAAGAAAAAAGAAAGAAAGAAAGAAAAAGGAAGAGAGAAAGAAAAAAAATTATGTCAGCCCAGCTGCAGCCATTTGAAGTCTTGCCTGGTGCTGAAGGGTCTGTTTCCAAGTTCACTGGTGTGGCCTCAGTTCTCCTTACCATGTGGGCCTCTCCATGACCTACTTGACTCTCTTCAGAACATGGCAGCTGGCTCACCCCAGAGCAAGTGATCCAAGAGAACAGATGAGAAGGAAGCCCCTAGGTCTTTTATGATCTAGTCTTAGAAGTCACATACTGCTACTCCTTCTCTATTCTGTTAGAAACAAGTCTTCAAGCCCAGCTCACACTAAAGGGCAGGGAAATTAGGCTCTACCTTTGGAAGGGATTTTTGGTTATATTTTAAGACTAACCCAAGACTACATTTGGGTAAATATCTACCTCCCTTACTAGACAAGGGTACCTTGAGAACAGGACCCATGTTTCTCTTGTTCACTGTTGTGTCCCTGGCACCGTCCAGAATGCCTGGCAAAGTACAAGCATTGAGGAAATAGTTAAAAGAATGAATTAAATTATAAAAGAATGAAACTTTGTATTTCAATCCCAGTGCTAGGGAACTCTGGACAAATTCTCTAACATTAGTCACTGGTTTTGGAGAATGGGGTTAATTCTAGCTACCTCTCAAGCTGTTAAAAGAATTAAACAATACAGCCTATATAAAGCACCTAGCAACATCTGGCACAGAAGGGGCTCATTAAATGTTACTTCTCATCTTCTTTGCTTCGATTACATATGCAATCCACCCCAGGCCACACAGATTCTACTTCTCACATCCCTCCATCCCACCTAGTCTGTGACTCCCTTTCAATTGCTATGTCTCTCCTTCTTGCTCACTCCTTTCTACTGCCCTTCTGATAATTCCTGATGCCTCTGGTCTCTGTCTCATGTGATCCATCCCACGCACTGCAACCATGTGAGTTATCTTCAAGCCCTCCACGTTTCAAAACGTTTTTGTCCAAACTCCCCCCACAACCAGAGCCCAGTGGAACTGCACAACTTAATTTTCCACTACCCTCCTATATATATTCTCTACAGGAAGACTACTTACTGCCCCCAAATGTGTGGCTCTCACTCTGTGCTTCCCAACCACTGTTCTTCTGCTCATGCCATTCTTTTCTTCTTTGAGCTCCTACTATAAACTCCATTTATCTTATTGCATTTATGATTATTCATGTGTTCCAGGAACTAGAATGTGTGTGCTATTTCTGTTACTAAATTGGAAGCATATCAAAGGCTGGGACTATGTCACTCATTCTTACACCCTCTATTGTTGTTCCTCTGCCCTGCACTAGGAAAGTGTATAATAAACTTTTGTTGAATTGAATTTGAATTCCAGGTGGCTTTTATTTCCTTATTTGTGCTGACTTAATGATACATTCCAGCCCAGGTACCAGAATGAGATAGAGCAACATGCTCTGCCCATACCGACGATGAGAGATTTGACTTCTAGCCACATATAACTACATTCTTTTCATGTCTACATAAACTAAATGATCCACAAATAGCAAATCTTTAGTAGAGCAATTGCAGGATATAATATGGGTTACATTTTCCTTTAATTCTGGCTCTAATGCAAGTATCTTCACCTTAATATTTATACGACCTCTGTGCTCATTTGTAATGCTCTGTAGCATTTTCACTATTGCTAGTAGCAAGAATATGATAAATATATTTGAAGATAGAAAATTCTTAAATGATTCTGGGTTATGTCAGTAATATGCAGTGGTAAGTAAGATTGGGGGAAATTGTCAAACGAATGAATAGACAAGACCGGCAATGTAAGAAATTTTGTCTTTAGATTGCTCTGGTAATGCTTCAAAAGTAGATGATGTTTTCATATTTTCAATGAAAAAATGTCTGCTAAACACACACACACACACACCTAGGGAAATTCTTGCTTTTGAGTCATGAATAGATACCTTTTGGAAATACACAGTAAAATTTCAGGCTGAGACTGACACAAACATGAAAACTATTTATTCAGTGTCTCCTTACTATATTACCAGTGGTGTTCAAACATTTTGACCTCACAAAATTATTTTCATTCTGGTAGAGCAGAGGTACTATATTTCCCTGGCTCCCCCCCCCCCATTATCTATAAGGGGTCATGACGGCTTGAATTCTGTAAATATATGTAACTCTCTTCAGATGGGCAGTGACCAAAAACTAATTCTTGTGTATAAACGTTGGTAACATACTCTTCATCTTCCCAGTCCATTAACCCTGAATTTATAGAAACTTAGTGAACAATCCCTCCTTTATATTAGTATTTATAAGCCTTGGGGTTACTTAAGAAGGTTCTACCAGGATAATAGGGACTTTCATCTTTGGTCAAATGTTAAAGCAGCTTCAGGGCGAATAGGAGTATGTAACATTAAAAACTTTGAGATCTATCTAAAAGCTTTATTTTACAAATAAAGAAACTGAGGGTCAGGAGATGGAAGGACCTCATGGACTCTGCACCTCATGGCAAGAAACTTGTGACCCCTTGGCATTTGCCCACCCACCCAGTGACTAGTCTGGTCCTGGGTGTATCAAACTTGTCAGCACTGGCACACGGGGCCAGACAATGCTTTGTACTTGGGGTATAACAGATGTCCTGTGCATCTGGGACCTCTAGTCTCTAGATGCTAGTTGTACCTCTTCCTCTTGGTCATGACAACAACAACAACAAAACGCCTCTAGGCTTTGCCACCTGTCCCCCCAGGGGGTAAAATCATCCCCTGCCCATAACAGCTGGTCTATCCTAAGCCATCTTACTGTCAGAATCAACTATTCTCTTTTATGTTTTCTGGGAAAATACCTTAAGACATGAATGCATCATATTGAATATTAGAACTCTGCCTGATTTCCATGAGAAACCACAGTCTTTCCAAGAAAAGGGACTTCACGGCTTACTTCACACATTCAGATACAATAAGAACACAATCTGATGCAGGGTGGCCAAACCCAACTAATCTTTAGCCTAAGAGAAGCTCAGAAAGGGACAAAACACAGATTGACAGTTTTGATTCATGTTTAATGAAAAAGAAGTTACATGAATAGAAATGGACATAAAACAAAGAGATCAGTTTGGGGAAATAAGGTGATAGGTGGAACAGGGGAAAAATCATTTTATTCCTGAATTTATTCATATATTCCTATTCGTTATTACTGATCCAAAATATCTCCTGAAACCCAAAACAAAGTCAGAGTTATAGCTTTACTGATGTTTTCATGGGAATTCACAAAAGTCATATCCAAACAATCCTTTTCCATGCCCCCCCATGCCCCCAGAACACACACAAGCAAAGGCAGAGATGTTTACTGGTTGGTAACGTGGCGTAAAAGAAATGCAGCCTTATCAGCTTTTTATTATAAAGCAAGTTAGCACTGGTAGATGTGCTTTTGGCACAAACATGCTTTCTGCTAATATTTTCATGAGAAAGCTTTTATGATGCACAACCATTTATTCTTAGTACAATCAATCATTGAGGGATTAAACCTAACTCTGGTGAATATAAATAGGTGTGCAGACGTTGCTGACTTCAGGTTCGAGCACAGTTGAAATAGTCAAGACGTGAAATTTAAAAATACACAGATATGAAACTGCAGCGAGCATCTTACTGGTTTGTTTCATGGCTCAATTCTGTTCAGGATTCTTAGCCGAGTCAGTCAATATTCTATTTTTTTGTTTGTTTGTTTTCGTTTTCTACCCTGATGTACAGGATGATCACATCTTCCTAAAGAAGAAAAAAAAATCTTTGGAAATGAATTATTGATCTCTGAAAACATAACAGGTTTGCTTTGATCATCTTATTTCAAATAAAATATCCCTTCTCTCAAACTCGATCTGGCAAGCGTTAAATTCATTATAGACGTTTGCCACGTGGGTAATAAAAAGGAACAATGAAACTTTACACACTATCCCTTTAAAATAAAAATCTTTTGGCCAGCACACAGCCGTCACCAACCTTCTACGCTCACATTGACTCGTTCAAAGTTAGGACGAGCCCTGTCTCTTCTGATACTGAATTCTAAGTTTTTCCAGCTGCTCGACACATTGGGACTGAGCCAACTTCAACGTCCGGTTCTCCTCCATCAGCTCCTCGAATTCCCGGGCCAGCTGAGCAGCATCCACCTTCTCCCTTTCTGCCTGATCCAGCTTGGCGATGAGCTCCTTTCTGAAAATTCAGGGGGCAGTTGAGGAAAAGAGCACAAAATTTAATGCAAGCAAATTAAAGGAGGCAGTAACAGCATAATGGAAGCAGAATGTTTCCTTCTGCTTTTCTGAACTTCACCATTTCTACTGGCTTCCAATGCCTTACTTTTAGCTTTTCCTGCTTCGCGAGTTTTAGCCACTTTATTATTTTTTTAATTTTATTTTATTATGTTAGTCACCATACATTACATCATTAGTTTTTGATGTAGTGTTCCACGATTCATTGTTTGTGTATAACACCTTGTGTTCCATTCAATTTAATAACCATCACCAGGCTAACTCATCCCCCACCCCCCTCCCCTCTAGAACCCTCAGTTTGTTTCTCAGAGTCCATAGTCTCTCATGGTTCATCTCCCCCTCCGATTTCCCCCCTTCATTTTTTCCTTCCTGCTATCTTCTTTTTTTTTTTTTGATATATAATGTATTATTTGTTTCAGAGGCACAGGTCTGTGATTCATCAGTCTTACACGATTCACAGCGCTCACCATGACACATACCCTCCCCAACGTCTATCACCCAGCCACCCCATCCCTCTCACTCCCCACCACTCCAGCAACCCTTCTAGCACCCCTACCAGACACATCCAAAATACTAAATATAGACCAAAAAAGCTCAATAAGTCCTTCGACAGTCAAAAAAAAAAGTGATTTTTTTTTTTTAAAGAGTACAACAAATTGTAAAAGTTATAATTAGTTTAGGGGGGAAAAAAAACAGTAAGTCAGTTTATAATTTAAGATGGGATCTATTGTCCTATGGGTAGAACTATAGTTTGTCCTTTACCTTGTCTTTGTCTTCCAAATTCAATTACTGTCTTCCTTTGTTTTCTACTTCAGGGCTTAACAAAACTTTATTAGGCTTCTTTGAACTAAAGAATCCAACTCCTTCCTGCAAATATTATTTCCCATGTCCTTCCTTACTGCTTATGTATATCTTGCAGCCCTATTTAACAAAACAATATATCTACATTTCATGCTGACCGACTCTAGAATTTAGGAGGTAGGCTAAGGTTATTGGAGGGAACTTGTAGTGATAAGGTCTTAAACAAATTCAGTTCTCAGTAATTACATGTAAATAATTCATTGATATAAATACACATAATAAGGAGCTAAAGATTCCCAGTCCACGTTTAGATTTACTAAACATGACAACCCAAAACAGATCCGCTCCCCTTATGTGAGTCAGTTAATCCTAAACTAGATCTAACCAAATTCTTTGCCTATAAGCGTGTGTCAGACTTCTTTCTCTGTAGGCAAAAGCATAAGAAACTTGGAAGACCGCTTTAACCAAGTGATCAACCTTGACATCACCAGTAAGGAGATAAATAGATATGGCCGGCACCAAGGACACATCCCTTTTCTGGTATTCCTTGCCAAAAATGCATACACTAGACAACCTCAAATTGAGGGAAATTCTACAAAATTGCTAGCCTGTACTCTTCAAATTGCTAGCTTGAACCATTCCATATTTAAGGAAACTAAAGAAAAATGACAACTAAGTGCAATGCGCAATTCCAGACTGGAAAAAAATTGCTGTGAAGGACATTGTTCAGAAATTGATGCAATTTAAATGTGGATTGTGAAATAATGCTAAAATTCTTTTCTTTTTTGACGTAGTGTTCCATGATTCATTGTTTGCATATAACACCCAGTGCTCCATTCAGTACATGTAAAACTCTTAATTTGTAATTATTGTACTGTGGTTAAATAAGAGAATGTGCTTGTTCTTAGAATACTGAAGTATTTAGAGCAATGGGGCATGACTACATAGATAGATGATGATAGATAGATAGATAGATAGATGATAGATAGATGATAGAGAGAGAGATAGGAGGGAGAGAGAGAGAGAACCTCAATAGTGTGCAGTGTTGATGGAGGGAGAATAAAGCACAACTGGGGAAGCTTTGAATAATTAGTGAATCCAGCAAAGGATATACGATTTTTGCAACTCTTCTGTAAGTTTGAAACTATCAAAATAAAAAATTACCCCAGGAAAAGGACAAAACACAAATCAGAACTGAAGTTCTAGTATATTCTTCCTTCACCCAATGGACTGCCTTGTGCACCTACCTTGAGGACCACTGAGCAAAACCAAGCATTGGAAAGAAAGTGCCCAAAGGGGACAAAGGGGAGATAAGTTGGAATACTGCTATACATATACACAAGGTTCCTTTGGGCTCTTATTGATCTTTGAATTTTCCATGGTATTTAGAATTTAAAGGCCCTCAATAAATATTTGCTGAATGAATAATTAAAGAGTAAGATACCTCAGAGACAAATCACATGTATTTTAAAGATGAGGAAATGGAAATGCAAAGTGCTTAACCTAATTGAAAAAGTCACCCAACTAATAAGAAAGAGCCAGAAATCAAGCCTATCTTTCTGATTAAATGTTTATGGCTCTTTGCCTCTAAGTATAGTTTAAGCAATAAAGGTCAATAATTAGGTATTAGTAAAGTTCCTTATATAACTTTCCTAAAGAAATTGATAAGTAAAACTTAAAATTCAAATGAACTGTGTCACACAAATAATTCATATGGAAATAGAGCTTTGCTTTCAAATCATGGTCTGGAAATTGGCAGTACTAGGTATAACAATAGCTATTGTCCTGGTTCCATATCTGACCTCTCTTAAAACTCCTCAGGACATCTGTTATTAGTTTTGACTGGTAAGAAAAGATAAATCACAAAATCACAGATTTTACAGCTAAAAGGAATGATCATGATGGTCTAGTGCAGTTTTCTTGTGTTGGAGAAAGTCAATAATAACTTCTTCCTTCCTGGAATGAAGAGGACTCAAATGATAGATTTCTAAATTAGTTTGATGTACCTGATAAGCAATTATACACATATTCAATGAATACTGTCAAAATGTGTGTTGTCTTCTGTCCAAGACCTATTTATATAGATGTGTTTGTGTTCATCCATTAGCAATTCATAATTATACCTGGCACATCAAGCTATGGAGACAATTTTATAAATAGATGATCTGAGGATCAAATCAATATCTATAACTGGCTAAAATGTGGTCCTGCCCTTGAATCTGTGTTTATTATTTCTAGCATTCCCTTCAGTGTAATCTGATAAGGGGGTAGAAGACCATTATTACAGGAATCCTATTTCGGAAATCAAGAACCTATAATATAGTTTCCAACATGATGTATTTCACCAGTGAAAAGGCCGCGACCTTGGGTCCATCATAGATCATCTGCCATCTCCATCCTAAGCCATATGCCTGGAAAAGTTTTTATTTGCTACAACAAATGGGGGAAGGGAAAGTGCAAGTGAAGAGAACTTTGAAACTTTGTGGAAACTAATTCCAAAATTAAGGAGATTCCTTATGTTGCAGGAGGTTGGGACATGAATTCATCATTAGAACAAGTATTTCTGTTTCTGGAAAGACCACTACCATTATTCTTGGGACTTTCAAAGTTGACTAAGGCTTTTATTTGGAAAAGACAAAATCCTAGATGTTTTGGCTATAATGAACTAAAGGGTTTTGGATAATAATGTGATAAAATACAATCTCCATCATGGGGAGAAGTTTATTCTAAATAGTGATTTAGACTGTACTATCAGTGGTTCTTAAAAGATGTGTGTTCTAAAACAAGCATTGATACACAGGAGAGAAGAAGCAGATGCCTAAAGATGGCACAAAAAGGATGTGAAAGTCTACCTTCATGTCATGTGGCTAGGGAAACAATCCGTGGCATTGAAATGGAATTGCAAAGCACAGTCTAGACTATGGTAAGTGAAGCCCTATAAATGAATAATGCATGAGGAATAAATGTATTACATCATTTGGGAGCCAAAGGGCAACACTGCTTGCAGGAAGAAGTGAGATTTGCTCTAGAGTTTCTCTTGGCACAGTTAATCATTTGGGCCAGACATCTCTGCTATTGGAGGCTACCCAATTCACTGGCATCATAGAAGGTTTAGCAGCACCGTTGGCCTCCATTCACTAAATACCAGTAGCATCTTCCCCCACTGCCGATCATTACAACCAAAAATGTCTCCAGACATTGCCAATATCCGGGGGTTGAGGACTGAGGAATTGGCCCCGTTAAGAACCACTACTCCTGGGCGCCTGGGTGGCTCAGTTGGTTAAGCAACTGCCTTCGGCTCAGGTCATGATCCTGGAGTCCCGGGATCGAGTCCCGCATCGGGCTCCCTGCTCGGCAGGGAGTCTGCTTCTCCCTCTGACCCTCCCCCCTCTCATGTGCTCTCTCTCTCAAATAAATAAATAAAATCTTTAAAAAAAATAAAAAATAAAAAGAACCACTACTCCAAAGGAAATGGAGACTTCACTATTGATCACTCCACAAAAAGTTAATCCTGGAATAGGAATAGATGAAAGGCAAAATGTTTCCTCACTCTGCTCCCCCAAAGACTGGAGCCTCTTTTCTTAGCCAGGGAGACCTACTTAAAGGCACTCTCATTGAGAAGTGGTAAATATTCTGTCCCTTTTAACATGGTTCAAGGCAGAGATTAGATGGAGAGATACTGAGGAATGAGATTCCAGTTAGAAGTCTGAACAGCAGTTAAGTAGGTGGCATAAAAGGCCTAAATCATTATGACGGAGGCATGAACAGAAAGTGCAATCTCAAAGCCTGAAGAAGTTTAGAACATTGGGATTTCACACAAAGCTAAATCCTAAAGTGAAAAAATATCCTCAGCTATACCTCTGGAGCAAAGTAAAGAGCCAAGACAGTTCTTTGGTTCTATTCATCCACTCAAGTATTTCTTGAAATCCTAGTGCAAAGTAGGCACTTTCCTCGATGCCCGCTAGTGAAGTTGGTCTCAGGACGCATATCTCCACTGTTGGAAAATGAACGCCAGTCCTATACCCTACACAGAGGCATCTTACCCACATCAGGATGCCTTAGGGAAGAGGATAGGTCCCTTCCACCATATTACTGTTCACACTGCAAACACTTAGGGAGAAATACTCCATTTACTATTGCTTT